TGACTTTGGAGATGAAGCAGGAGGGGATGTTGCTACGGAAGTGATTGAGCAGGATGGTCCAGGGAAGGAAACATCAGGTGAAGTCATGGAGGTGAGTTAGGGAACAGCTAATGTTTAGATGGGAGCAAGGATAAGATGATGATTGAAAGTGATTCAGGGGCGTCAACTCGTTCCAATACTACAGGTTCCAGTTTCTTCACCATATTTCGTGGACAAGGCGGGAATATCAAAGATAGAGCCTACAGGATTTTACAAAAAGTTTGTATGCCTGTGTGTCCACCTGCAAAGCGTGATTGGAATGTCACTACGGAGTTAGATGTTGGTGCTGGGCTAGTTTTGGAGTGGCCGCCTCAGAACTGGCGAAAACTTACAGCTGACCAAAGACTCATGGCCCGTGAATATGCTGCAATATTCATCGAGAAGAAGGGCAACAAGAACTTCCCTGAAATCTCGAGGAAGCTCTTGTTGGACAAGTATCAATTTATGAGTTTGGAGGGAGAAGGCAAGCCGCCGGAGGAGGAATGCGCCTCAGACAAGATCGATGCCAAGATTAGACTTTATAACTTTTCATATGTGAAAGGAATTGTAAAAGGTGAAATAGAGGCTTCTAGGGTAGCATGGGGCATTGTTAAGAGCATCGAGAGAGCGGAAAGATGGACCGATACAGATGAAATGACGGACATGCTTGACAAGCATGGCTTGAAAATTAGACTTTAACTAAGGCTGTGACTGGGTTGATCACTGTTGTTGTTATTGTTGTTGTATCTAAAGGATTGTTCTGGTGGTTAACTTTGGAAATGTAAACAAAAGACTATTGTTATTGTTATTCTTTTTCAAACATGTTTAAAGTAATATGTAACTTTATAATTGATGCATTTGTTCTCTATAATGTATGTTATTGCTGTTTTTTTTATTTCATGAGTAAATTGACACTGTTTATTCATTGAATGCATGTTTTTCTTGTTAATAGACATTAAATAATCCAGGAGGATTATATTTATAAAGGAGGGGGAAGTGTAATGTGAGCTCATATACAATTCCTGCTTCTTTATTATTTGAACATTAAAAAGTGTTTAAAATACCGTTCTGTCCTTTGTGATTGTTAACAATGTCTTTGTTGAGAAATACAAGGTACGTTGACTGAAAGTAAATTTATACTTCCGGATAGCGAAAACAAATGACAATGTCGGAAAGTCATTCAAGGCTTAACTGTTATTGTAGTAACTTATTAGCATATGCACTTACTGTAAACTAACTTGTTTGTTCGCATATCCCATATTTATTCAAGTTGCAGGCTAATTCTATTTATGCTATCAATATCAATTTCTTACAATGAACTCTAATCTATCAATATTTATCACTTTTTTATTTCTTGTTATCACTCTTTATTGAAATGTCCTTGGTGCCTATTATGTCATAGAAATGCTTTTATTTATATTTCTCAAAATCTTTTTATTTCTGGTATTCTTTTATACTTTTAAACAAAATGCTCATTGGCCAATTCTTATTCTGTTCCATTTTTGTGTCGCCTCTACGGAGTAGTGGCGACATATAGGGATCACTTCTCCGTCGTCTGTCTGTCCGTCTGTCCGTCTGTCTGTCTGTCTGTCCGTCTGTCCGTCCGTCCGTCACAAAACTTGTCCGGACTACCCCTCATAAACTACTGGTGCAATTTCATCCAAACTTTACAGGAATGATCAGTATCAAGTCTAGTTGTGCATATTGTCAGCATTTTCCGGTTCAATGATTTTTGTCAGAGTTATGGCCCTTTAGAAATTTTTAATTTTAAAGTTTGTCCGGACTACTTCTCTTATACCACTGAAGCAATTTCAATGAAACTTTACAGGATTGATCTGTAGCTCAAGTCCTTGCGCATATTGCAAGGGTTTTCCGGTTGAATGATTTTTGGCCGAGTTATGGCCCTTTGATAAAAAGGTGTTTTTTTTCTGTGTGTTGCCAGATACACAATAGCTTGTCCGGACTACTCCTCATAAACTACTGGTGCAATTTCATCCAAACTTTACAGGAATGATCAGTACCAAGTCTAGTTGTGCATATTGTCAGCATTTTCCGGTTCAATGATTTTTGTCAGAGTTATGGCCCTTTAATAGTTTTTATTTTTAAAGTTTGTCCGGACTAGTTCTCTTATACCACTTATGCAATTTCAATGAAACTTTACAGGATTGATCTGTAGCTTAAGTCCTTGCGCATATTGCACAGGTTTTCCGGTTGAATGATTTTTGGCTGAGTTATGGCCTTTTGATAAAAAGGTGTTTTTTTCTGTGTGTTGCCAGATACACAATAGCTTGTCCGGACTACTCCTCATAAACTACTGGTGCAATTTTATCCAAACTTTACATGATTGATCAGTACCAAGTCTAGTTGTGCACTGTCCGTCTGTCTGTCCGTCTGTTACAAAATTTGTCCTAACATGAAATTGGCCATTATGAGGCGACACATGTGATTACTGATCGCTCTTGTTTGCTATTAGTATATTTAGAGATTAAGTAAGTATTTTTTATGGAAGTCAAAGTACTACATTTTGTTACTTTATATGACAGTCGTTTAGCGCTTTTTTATTTAGGTAATAAACATCTAACATCCTCTAAAACGATTATTAAAACGTTATAAAACTAATGTTGACCTTTCTAAAGAAGTTATCTTATAGTCGTTTTGGAGGCACGTGCCTCTAAAGCATGCTCAATATTGATAATCATTGTCTTACATTTATCTCTAGCTTATCCCTGATCATCATCTTAAGAGAAAACATGTGCACCAAGAATGATAAAAATACTCACGTTTGCTTTCTGAAAAAAAATGACAAGCATACAAATACACTTTTCAAATGAATTTTAGTGATACATAGCGCCGAAAGCTGCAGACTTATTACATTTAAAGTAGTAAAAGTTATTTGAATTTCAGAAGACTGCACATCCTTATAATAAATGCTTCTTTCTTAACGATTAACTTGTCATGATTCATCAATCTTTTTATATTGTTTTCCTCTTTGCTCCACAAAAATTAAACATTCACTTATAAAAAGTAACTGTGTATCGGAATGTTGAATGAAGAAACATACATTTATTGATGGTATTGTCCCAACAATATTGACCTGACACTTCATTTACTTTCGTAAAGGTCATTTGAATATAAAATGACCAATATCTATCGAATGTATCGATATATTTGCTAATTTCACTCGTCAGTGAGCTTTGGTGTATTGGTATAGATGTAAGACCACCGATCTAAAGGTATCTGGTTCGATTCCTTACCAACACTACGTTATGATTTCTTTTTTTTTTAAATTTACTTGCAAAAATTAATTTGAAATCATTTTACTACACCTGATTTTAGCATACCTTTTAAATGGTGTTTTATACAAAATTATATACTTTATTTCATACGGTTCTCTTTGTGACGTTATGCAATTGTATATGCTTTAGCGCATACACGCTATAAAGACAGTTATTTGAAATACAAAATAGATAGGACATACAACAAAAAGGTTTGCAATAGTTTTAAAAGAGTGGCAACTTTAAAAATAAAATAAACAAGCAATTATCATAGTATTGCAAGCAATCCATACGTCCCCTACCGGTAAGAGCCCAAGCAACATTCTGAAGGGCCATTGGCCATTCACTTATGTTCCTATTTTAAGTAAATTTGTTGAAAAAGTTCTTTAAAAGTGATCACAGGAAACAGTTTTTATGTACAGACAGACGGACTGAGGAACACTCTAAAGTTATTTTTTAAAACATCCCTGTTATCAAAATATAACATTTTTAAAAATCTATCATGATTGAAGAAGTTGGAGTAAAAATTACCAATTTCTCAAAAAAAAGTTCAAAAGGGGCATAATTCTGGAAATAGTCTTGCTAGAGTATTGAACACTCACAAATTTTGAGTGACAATAAGAAACATTTATATTAAGTTTGAAGTAGATACATTCAGAAAAAGAAGTTATTAAAAAAAACAATTTTTTTTCATGAAAATTTTAAGTTCAAGGGAGGTAATTCTGATAAATTTTGTGCTAGAGTTGTAAACCTTGTCACATATGATGTGGTTGATGACAAGCAACTTATATTTAAAGTTTGAAGAAAATACCTTAAGAAATAAAGAACTTATAGTGAAAAAAACTTAAAAACTAGAATCAGAAATCTTGAAATTCAGTCTATTTGTTGCCATAGCAACCAGAATTTTCAACATAGGAAGATAAAAAAATATGTGCATAATTTCCATACTGCCATCTACCCATATGTCAAGTTTCATAAACATATTTTCAGTACTTTTTGTGTTATCACTGGATCCAGGTTATGTGTAAAATTTGCCGTATTGTCAGTCTATTTGTTGCCATAGCAACCAGAATTTTCAACAAAGGAAGAAAAGAAAAAGACGTGCATAATCTCCATACTGCCATCTATCCATATATCAAGTTTCATAAAAATATTTTCAGTACTTTTTGCGTTATCCCGGGATCCAGGTTATGTGTAAAATTTGCCATATTTTCAGTCTATTTGTTGCCATAGCAACCAGAATTTTCAACATAGGAAGAAAAGAAAAAGACGTGCATAATCTCCATACTGCCATCTATCCATATATCAAGTTTCATTAAAATATTTTCAGTACTTTTTGCGTTATCGCGGGATCCAGTTTTGTGGACGGACGGACTGACGGACGGACAGACGGACAGACAGACAGACGGACAGACGGACGGAGGGTAAACCTAAAGTCCCCTCCGGTAAACCGGTAGGGGACTAAAAATGAATCGCTGAAACAGGATTCGAACCTATCAGTTTACTTCTATAATCTTCAAGTGAAGGCCTTTTACCAACTGCGCTAAGACGGGTTTTTAATTTACACCATTTTAACAATTGGATATTTAGATTCATATCGATTTACAAGTAGATCGTAACGTTTACGGAATATACCGACAACAGGGTCAAATGCAAGAGTGCCAGATCAATATTGTTGGACAATACATGGTTTTCTTTAGGATAATATGGAATCAAACAGTATTTATTTAGTCTCGATTGTAAAACAGATAATTATTAGCAACGAATACCAACATATAATCTGTTCAATAGAAACAACGTTATATAAATCACATTTAAGTCCGCTTCCATCAACTGACCAGTACTGCTGCCATAAGAGGAGAACAGTGCAGAACCAAAGAAGACCATGGCCCTTTGGTTAATAAGCTGAAATTTTAAGTACAAGGTCACCGCCGCTTTCTTTAACAAAACTATCAATGAGGCAAACATTAAAATTATCTTACGGAAATGCCGTTTCAACGCATTTAATATAGCGGTTGCACGTGTTGTATGTACATTCTCCATGTAATAGTCCGATATGTTTTATTAACACATTTAATGTATTCGTTATGTATGTTGTATTTACACAAATCATGTATTCGTTCAGTAAACTTTGAAGGCATGCTTATCAGCACATGAGTTACAATATTCAGTAGTTTTACATTATGATATGTCAGAGAGACTTGTTACAGAAACACTTTACTACTAAGTTAATGCTATATCGTTTTTCATCTTGTCTTCTTTGCGTTTAAATATTGGTAGTTGTATAAGGAACAAGTCTATGATTTCCACGATTGTTAACATACTGGCACCAATAAACAAACCCATAGCTCCACCAATATCACCTGAAATCAAGAAATGTCAGATTTAGAAAATCATTTATTTTTAGAAACCGTTAATTTTGTCAACTGCTTAAAATCACAAAATAGAGGACATGCCTATTTAGAGATAATATATCTTATTGTTTATAATCATTAGGGAGTTGAGCATCGATGGATGTTAAACTAACTGAGATACATGTTGTGCTATAAATAAATACTTTATAGTATTTAAGTGGCATTATGCCCATCCAAGTGTAAATGGTTAGTAACCAGGTAAAGATCAAAATAATCTAACCAATTTGCCATAATTTTGTTCAATTCTTATATTTTAGTATGAAAAAAAATCAATAATCCATATAAGCAGCATAATTTTTTCATAAATATCCTTTAGAAAATATCGGAAACAAAGAGTGGGGCAGTCTTTTTAAAATTTAGATCATTTTTTATATTTATCACTAAAATTTTTATTATTCCTTATTATAATAGTCACTTTTGTCTTTTTTTTAGAAATACTTCTTATTAACTTGACAGGGACAATAACGAGCACAGTGTCACCTGTATTTAAAGCATTACTTTAACAAATGATTATGTATTTCTCAACAACAAGACTAATATAAATAAAATTAGATTTAAAACTTAACCTTTTGTTTTCTATAAATTAATATTTTGAAAATATTTTCTGTAAAAATATGTCACATATATCTAAAGTTGTCTGAATAATGTTATCCTCCAAGTAAATGATTTAGAATGATAAAGATGTATCAATTGTATTTCAACCAGCTTGTTTTGATTTGCTTTTATATTACACATAAAAGTCACATACTATTATGACACTTATGGTAGTTACATATTAAATTATATAGAATTTTAAAAAAACTTTAGCACGTATATTCAAATATATTTTATATCTAATTTTAAATACTTTATCACGTATATTCAAATAAGAAAATATATACTTACAAATTAAAGCAAAAAAGTCGTAAGCTTTGTGTTGACTAATGTATTCGTAGCTCAGCTGCCGATAAAAAATGTCCAACTGTAGAAAATTCTGCCTGGAAAGTAAATAGAGAGATCTTTACTAAATGATTTGAACCTGAACATAAACACACTCAAAGACAAAAGAAAGTGACTTTACTCTAATAATTATGTGATATAAAGTCTATCTTTGTAAATATAGATGAAATACATGTATGAGCGAATTGCATGTTTCGCTGCTGATTAACCGTGCCTTATAAAGCCCCAAAAATTATAGACATTTTTTAAATCTGGCATCAAAATATACCAGCTGTTTTAAATCATGTTTTATTTGTACTCGCACATGTTATAACACTTGTTTTAGAAATGAAAAGAAGAAAGTATGCAGGATAAATTTCTATACTAACTTGAGGAACTTCCCATCAACAACAATGTCATTCTTGAATTTTTCCAGATGAACAGTTACACCATCATTTGCGATAAGGAAGTCCTCGTCTTTGTTAAAGACGTGTTGTCGAACATCAAGTTCATGCAACTCATTTATTTTCCCAGTCCACTCATCCAGAACTACGGAAATATTTCTCAGAAACAAAGCATTATCAGTATAGTTATAATACTCTATGGAATCTTCGTCTGTAATAATTGTTGTCCATATATTTTTCACTGGTTTATTCAGAAGATTTGTCAAGTCGTTTATCTGTTGGCCTCTTGTTTGAACTTCTTGGAAAAAAATCCTTAAAATATTAACCAATAGTTTTGTCTCGTTTGATAAGAAAACATGAGCTAGATTCATAAGATTGCCTTCAGAGCTATCTGTATAATTTTTCATTAGTGCTATGATTTGTTCCATATTAGGTAAAATGTTTGTGGTAATATTACTCAGTAAAGTCACCAACGCATTTAAATTTTGTCTTAAATCAACAATGTTTGCATTAAAAGACGACCACTCGTTTTTAAAACTTGTTATTCTTTCCTGTATTACCCGAGTTGGCAATTCTATCCCTTGCGAATATACAACGCTTTTACTAAACATAAATGTCCGGCACGCATACTGAAACCGTTCGTATACATAATTCAGTTCAGTATCATTTACAGTTCTGTTCTCATACGCTATTGTGGCTTGATCTATAAACATACTGAGGACGGTATCCATTAAATCAAAGTCACTGGAATTCAATGTTGGAACGTATTTAAGCATATAGTGATTGTGATGCATTGAGTAGTTCATCAGAGGTTTAGGAACGATGTATGGATTATGAGCGCGCGGCAAATCTTCAAATTTATAATCAAATATAGGCGTTCCTGATATAAACGAACTAAGTAAAAGGGTTATATTTTCCCGCGCTTTTTCAGCAATCTTTTTTCTAACAGTAAGAGAGTCCAGTATAAGCTGGTATAATTCAAATCTGCTGGAATAATCTGTATTATTCTCGGTAGCTAGACGTTCGATTCGTCTTTTGTTCACTAATGCAAATTCAGCATAAGCATTTGCAACGTTTTTAAGGGTTCTCTCTTCCATTGCTTCACGACCCCTTAGAAAGTTCTTTTCTATAGAATAATCTTGGTATCTGTATATTCTATCTTTAACAGTATACACGTCTGTCATTTCTGTTACCACATTTTCCGTTACATTTCTTTGATTCGCGAGGCAGTTTGCAATAGAGGAAATAACCTCCTTCAATTGAGTAAACTTATCGTAAAATGTTTCTGCTATTGATTGGAAGAATCCAAACGTGTCTTTGTCCATTTTTGACGTAATCTCCGAGGCATTCTCAAATTTCTCAACCAATTCTGTAGCTTCTGATGACGTGAGTAGTTTGTTGACCAGATGGTTTGAAATAGAGGCATATGATACAGAGGGATCGTAAATGGCGAAGTAACAAGGAACTGGGCAACCGCAATCCTCACGTAAAGACTTTGAAAACTCAGCTGAAAATATAGCGTTAGAAATCTATGCAAACATTAAGTTTGAATTAACGCATTTACTTTTCAAAATTCACTGTATATTTCGTTTAAAAATGGTAACATTTTATAAGACTATAGTTATTGTTATAAATATCTTTTAAAATCTTATCTTTTGTGCGCAGTAATCCATAAAGGTGGTCGTTAAAAATGTTAGGTTGAAAATATAGATGAAAAACTATTTGTACACTTACCTTTAAGATCGACGAGGCAAGAGTAGTATGCGCCTAGAGTACATACTGGTATTGACCCTGTAAAATTATAATGAATTAATTCCATATTTCACAATTATTGACATCCCCAGTACAACGGAATATGAGTAAGACATACTTTCCGTATGGGGAAATAAAAAACTTGTCTTGTGTAAAAATGAAAACAGCTTGAAAGGTTTAGCAATTTATAAGTCATTCTTAAGTAGATTTGTATCCAATTATCCAGCTAGTAGATAGTTGGTTATTTGAATATACAACTACCAACTACTTACCAAATTGACGCTCATCCAATTAGTAGTATTTCTACATACAATTAAATGTGACTGTATACATAATGAATTATATTTTACTATAAACCGTTTGCTGCAGCAATGATAATGTGTTTTATTTATAATTTAAACTGCATGAATGTGAAAACAATGCTCAATGCTTTAAAGGTTACACAACTGCATACATCATAACACAAACCGGTAGAGTGGTACAAGGTAAAGTTAACAATTGTTTCACCAATGCTTAGTTGTTTTAAAAATATTTATTTAAGCGCGATTGCGAAACAAGTTCTTGCAGTTCTTTTCGCTGCCACTTCCTGGAACCAACCAGTTCTGGTGTCATATGAAGTAATATGGTCGTGACCCAAGTAGGGCTCGAATCAATGATCCCTGGGTTGATAGGCAGATAACTTAAACATTAGGCCATCACTCCCCTTTACATGTTATGTTTGATACATGCTTAACACTATGCTTAGTTAAATAAATATAAACAAATGACCTTTTTGGTCAGGCATGTAGATATCCCTACAGCCACATGTCTTATGTGCCAGATCAACTAGACAATCTAAATAACATTCCTCGGTTGTATAGAAGTCTGTATGTGACAACTTCTTTGTATCACATTCTCCGTATGGCTTCGGAAGGTTTTCAATCTGAAATAAATATAATTACTACTGTGCTCTGTGTATTTAAAAAATGGTTGATAATAACACATAATATTGATTATATTTTCAGAACTCTGATCTTATGTAATTATCTTTCGTTAATTTCGAAGTCAGTACAAAAGTGTACATTTTAAATGAACATATAAAAGAAACATATTTGAAGTAAAGACAAGCATGACTCTGTTTTTGGAAACTGAAGGGACACATCTCTAGATATTACCACACAAATGCATTTGTATAATTATCGCTCTTTTTCAAACAATGCAAATCAAATTAAATAAATATTTAATAAAACATATATTATTTAAAAAAAAGCTAGGAATACATTTGCAACAAGATTATAAAAGAAAGATTTATGTATATGTTAAAAGGCATACCGTCATAAACTTGACACCGACAAACGCATGTGTTCCGGTGGGCACTGCCTGACCAAGCTCGTGCACGAACGGCATTTCTCGTGAGTCATGTAATAATATTTTGATACCAGCTGCATCATGAGGGCCGGTCATGTACTCATACTGCTCCACATTCAACGTCACTCGTAACCCAGAATCTACTCCTTTATAAACGAAATTTACAAAAAGCAAATGTCAAAATATTTTTATAATTTTAATGGTTAGTCTTCATAAATCAACGTTCAAAGGATTTTATATATTAGAACGTAATTAATAGTTATACAGATACTTTCATCTCCTTTAAATTGAATATAGTAATAAAGTAAATTATTTACATTTTTGATACTATGTACAGAAATTTCTATAAGATACTGTCTTTAAATAATTTTTATTGCGTGCTTATTATTGAAATAAAGGAAACAACGGAATGGATGTCAGGTAGATATGTAGAGACAAATCATAGGGTAGTTTAATACAGTAACTCTAATAATTGTCTAAGCATGAAAAACAACTGCTCTTAATTGAAACGTTATACATGTATGTAAGCATGGTATTTGTAATGTTAAGAAAAAAACTTGGATAACAATATTAATGTAGAATGACATGTTACTAGAACATGTTACACATGTAAAGTATATACCTGACGAGGACACCAACATGTCCTGCTTCTTCTTCTTGAAAATATAACATACACCATGATCTGTTAGGATCATTTCAAAGTCTTCATGACTACAGTTGCCATTCTTCCATACACAACTAGCACAAAATAAATCATTGAATTTCATATAATATCTAAGTAGACTGTTACTATTGATAATCACCAGTACTAAATAAACGATTTCCATTCGATATTGTTTAGACATCGTTAAGCTCCTGTGCAACTCACTTTCTCGAAATCAATTCTTCAAGGTTTTTCCTACATATTACGAAAGAAATGCATGAAACTTTGAAGACGTGTAGATATTTAACAGTTTTCACATATGTTATCGTCACGTTATCCGATTTTTGAGATATTTTATTTGTCGTTCGTAATTCAGAAACAGTCAATGTAGTGTATCTTTAAAAATAACTGTTTATATTTATAGAAATAATTGTCGGTTTCCTTTTTGCTTATTTAAGACAAAAGAAAGAAGTAATTACTTTTTATACGTGTCAAGTTACTGCATCAATCATAAACTGCATACAAAATATGTTGCATCATTACCTTATTATGAAGTCTTCTTTTGTATGAGCAAGAGATGTATATAATTCTTCTAAACTTAGATCTGTAGCGTTAAATTGTTCAAGTTGTTGCAGGGAGATGGTTCCAGTGGTTGAGAATAGGAGTTCTATTAGTCTGTATCTATGAGTTTCAGACGCTTTAGTTGCCCTGAAACATGAGAAATAAGTGAATGTACAATAAAGGGAGCTCCCTGAGGTCCAAAAGCTTAAAAACATAAAAAAATGAATTTCTCTCGTAAATCAGCTTGGGCACATAAAATAATAAAGATAATCTAAAGATAATTAAGGAATATACACACAAAGTTTTGGCCATTTGATACTTTCGTTTTGTCCTTAACTCCCAAAATAAAGCAAATATATCATATAATGCACCAGTTAGTTGAGGGGAATATCTTCATAAATGAGCATTGCACTGCTGGACCATTGAGGTCATGTTTTATCTTGGCAACCAAAAAGGCAAGGTAGGGTCAAATAACAGTTCAGACAGGGGCTTTCAGTAGAGAATTAACCATCTGACTCGGGTCGGTGTCTTCATTTGGTTATATTTAACCAAATGCCAGTGAGAACTGAATTGACGCTTATTGTAAAGACATATAATACATGTATATGGTAGACAAAGAGACAGCTGGGAAATATCACTTGCACTACAATTACCTGTTTGGTATAGTTCCTATTGCAAATCAGAATATTATCAATATGTCATGCATTGTATGAATGTATATACTCGTATAAAATTAACGGTTTAATCTATATCACATAACTATAACTTATATCAAATCAGTTAAATATTAATTAGGGCATAATTATGTCATCTATGTAAAGGTCCTGTTGAAACCGACTGTACCTGAAAGCATTTTGATTACAGATGGTGACCGCAGGAAAATCAAGCGTCTGGTTGTAATTGATCTTCACGTTCACAGCGATAGGACGCTCGTAGAAATAGCCAACTCTGTCGATGATTTGCAGTATAACACCAGTAAGACAGGCAAGTACAAAAATCAACCACATAAACCTGTCAAATAAACAAGAAAATACGTGAAATGTTTTATGTTGTTGCTTTTGTTGTTTTTGTTTTGTATTTAACATTCTGAGTAAGTTTCTTGAAAATTTTAGACATGAAGTTAAAGCTAGTTTATACAAATCTTTAAAAAAATAAAAAAGTTAATTATCATCAATATAGTTTTGACATTTAACTCATTCGACCCGTACGCCGAGTATAGTCGTCGTCTTTATCTGTTATCGTGTACCGCGCGCCGAGTATAGTCGTCGTATAAAATTTATCGGCTATCCCGCATGACGAGAGTAGTCGTCGCGTATTGAACTACTACTGTATACCGCGTGACGAGTTATGTCGGCGCATTTCATTGGTTGTTTCGACGGGTTATATTAAGATTTGAGGTATTTTGACCAATCAGGAAACGCGTTATGTGTATAGTATAAAGGTTTACCTATACGAAAGTGAAAATTTTACCGAAATATCTCTATCTGAAAAAAAGTTATAATGCGTTAAAAAAATGGAAAATCGGAAGAATTTATTTGACATAATGTTTGATACGGACACGGAAAATGGCGCAAATTCGGATTGTGACATTAGTCTCGATAGTGAAAGTGAGATAGAATCAATCTGATAGATCGAGTGACAGTCAAAGTGAAAATGAAAGTGCGGACGAAAATGTGAAATATTCTCAGTGGAAGACAAACGATCGGTCAGAATTGCCTAAGAGACCATTCACAGGCCCAAATCCAGATCTTGATTCGGATTCAAATGAATTTGATTTCTTTGAACTGTTCTTTTCTGTGTTTCTGATTGAGCTACTTTGTAGACAGTAATTTTGATTTTGTGTACAAAAATATTTAGTCTAGGTGATTACCTTTTTTTCATTCCTTTTTATCAAGAAAAGTAACATAATTGAAAGCGCTAGAAAATAAGAGTAACTGTTCTAATGTAAGAAATACAAAAATGTAAATACCTTACAGTTTTTGTATTTATTTTGTAATTATTTTTATATTATTATTATATATAATTTTTATAATTATTATATATAATTTTGAAATTATCTAAAATTAATCCACACATATAACAATTTTCATTCATATTTCATAGATGGATTATTTTTTCTGGCTAATATTTTCTTACTTTTAGACACAGTAGTAAAGATAAATTATTTAAATATTGTTTTCTTTGAAATTTTCTTTAAAAAAAAACAACAGGAAAATAAAAGTTTTTTTTAATGAATATGAATTTCTGATGTATATACACCTCTGCACCATAAATGTTACATTTCGTGTCTGTTTTTATGAGCTCCACAACAAATACTTATATTTGCTCATTAGTCATTACTATACTTATTTATTTGCATAATGCTTCCAAAGTATTCATTTCTAATTTGTAAATTAGCAGTAAATTTCTCAATATATTTTTTAAATTATTATATTATGGAGAAGAATGTTTTAATAGAAATTTATACAAAAAATAAAGTTCTTTTATTACAAATAAACTGATTTTATGTTGAAAATCTTCTTTATTTTATTGATAATAAATCAGTCCAACATGTTGCCATAGTGATGGAAGTTACACCACTGATTAGGTAATTTTATTGCCAACATTTATGTGTCATTTCAGCTTGATTGGATTAAAAATGAGATTGCCAGAGGCAAATTACATAATGCACCCCCTATTATTTATGACCTGTCAATAAAACAGTGCAATATCCCTCAGGGAGACAGTTTAGATAAAATCAATAAGGTACCTAGGAGTTGGCTTATCAGTTATCAGTAGGGTTTAAGTGGTACACAGTGTACAGGGTTGAATGAGTTAATGATATAAATTATCTTTGGAAAAATCTTCATTTAATGTATGACTTATGCGTAAGGCATGGGACAATTTATTTAATTTGTCTATTGATTGATTGGTTGATTTTCTTAAGACCTGGCTGTCAAGGATAACCTACGAAAGTACAAGCACTTATTTCCAGTAGGGTCCTTACCGCAACAGACTCTAGAGACAGCTATGAGATACAAGGGAGTCCGGGAACCAGTCACTAGCTCTTATTGAATAAATCCCTTGGTTCTTTTACATGCCCAGTGTAAAGCACTGATACATGCGAGGATTACCTGGGTTACTTACCAGTTAACCTCTAGGTAGGTGGGAAACACTGAAAGTGTCTCTGAAAAATCCTAAGGGTGTTACCCAGGATCGAACCCGGAACCTCAGGAGTGACAGTCAGTGGTCTAACCAACTGAGCTATCGCGCCACCTAGATATCAAACGATGCATACTTCTGATGTGCACAGCAAATTGAAGTTTTCCTTTATTTCATAATTTGTTATCAAACGTTTTTGTTTTCATGTTCTATACTATTACAACCAACCAGCTTCATTTCGACATGTACTCAGGAAACAATTGCAAACACAATACTTCTATAATTTTGATATCAATGTCTAAATACTTATGGGGGAATATATACCAGATGGCGCACTTTACTTGCCATGCTAACACCTTTTTTTTCTCTGATGAAACTTTTAAGATGTTATATAAGCTGAAAAAAGTTGCAACATATTCCCCCGAAGTTGAAAGGAGAATAAATACAAGTAATTTAAACATTAATTTTTTTTATAAATCAATGCTTTGTTACAGGTCTTTTAGAACAAACACTTCTATTTGCCCTAGAATTTACCAACTATTTTTCAAATCTTGTTTTTATTCTGTTTGTCGTTACCATGGCAACCTAACGAAAACCATCCGTGTCGGCATACACAAAAATTCCAGTAGGCCTATCTTTAAAGGACGGTCATTACTAAGAATTTCCTGCCAACTGCATTACGTGTGGAGTAAGACAAGGAGCGTCTATTACTCAATAAATAGACTTGCTATCGCGTTGTTAACATTTTCATGATTTCTGTAATCGTTTCACTTCTCTGTCTTTTACAGACATGTGGAAAGACATTTATGGCTGATAAGAATTTCTAAATCTTAAATGATATTGTGTCGCCTTTTCTTTTATACATGTACTTTACTGTGATAGGCATGTTATTTAGGTATAAGTCATTTTATGTATTTTTGAGTACCAGTTATTATTATCCCCTGCCGAAAAGGCGGCGGGGGATATAGAAATAGTCTCCGTCCGTCCTTCCGTCCGACATTTTTGTCCGGAGCATATCTCTAAAAGTATTTGAGTAATCAACTTGAAACTTCATAGCTGGATAGACCTCATTAAGGAGGAGTGCAGTGCACAAGAATGATAACTCTACCCTGCATAATTTTTGAGTTATTGCCCTTTGTTATTTTTCAAAATTGATTTTTGTCCAGAGCATAACTCCAAAAGCCTATGAGATATCAACATGAAACTTCATAGGTGCATAGATCTCACTGAGGAGGTGTGTAGTGCACAAGAATGATAACTCTACCTTTTATAATTTTTGAGTTATTGCCCTTTGTTATTTTTCATACTTAATTTTTCACCTGAGTGGAGCATAACTCAAAAAGTGTTTGACATATCAACATGAAATGTCATAGGTGGATAGATCTTATTGAGGAGGAATGTTGTGCACAAGAATGATAACTCTTCCCTATACAATTTTTAAGTTATTGCCCTTTGTTCTTTTGCATGCTATTTTGTCCAGAGCTTTTCTCAAAAAGTATTTGAGGTATCAACTTGAAACTTCATAGGTGGATGGATGTCATTAAGGAGGAGTGCAGTGCACAAGAATGATAACTCTACCCTGCATAATTTTTGAGTTATTGCCCTTTGTTATTTTTCAAAATTAATTTTTGTCCAGAGCATAACTCAAAAAGCCTTTGAGATATCAAAATGAAACTTCATAGGTGCATAGATCTCACTCAGGAGATGTGCAGTGCACAAGAATGATAACTCTACCTTTCATAATTTTAGAGTTATTGCCTTTTGTTATTTTTCATACCTAATTTTTCACCCGAGTGGAGCATAACTCAAAAGTGTTTGAGATGTCAACATGAAATGTCATAGGTGGATAGATTTTATTGAGGAGGAATGCTGTGCACAAGAATGATAACTCTTCCCTGTACAATTTTTGAGTTATTGCCCTTTGTTCTTTTTCATACTATTTTGTCCGGAGCGTATCTCAAAAAGTATTTGAGGTATCAACTTGAAACTTCATAGGTGGATGGATCTCATTGAGGAAGAGTGCAGTGCACAAGAATGATAACTCTACCCTGCATAATTGTTTAGTTATTGCCCTTTTTTATTTTTCAAAATGAATTTTTGTCCAGAGCATAACTCAAAAGGCCTTTGAGATATCATTATCAAACTTCATAGGTGCATAGATCTAACTCAGGAGGTGTGCAGTGCACAAGAATGATAACTCTACCTTTTATAATTTTTGAGTTATTGCCCTTTGTTATTTTTCATACTTAATTTTTCAATTTTAATTTTTTTTCTCAAAAAGTATTTGAGGTATCAACTTGAAACTTCATAGGTGGATAGATTTTACTGAGGAGGGATGCATCACACAAGAATGATAACCTACCCTGCATTATTTTTCAGTTATTGCCCTTTGTTATTTTCAGCCATCAGTATTCACATAGGTTTCAAATCTGTAATCACTATAGCCATCAGTTTTCATTACCAAAAGACTTCTTAAAATGGAATTATTCTGCTGTACTACATATACATTCTTCCAATGAGCAAACACATTCGGCGGGGGATGGCCATGTTGACATGGCTCTTGTTACAAATGCAACAAAAATGAATCAATAATGATAAAAATATCATTTACAAATACTACTTTTTGTACCAGAATATGTGTGACAAACTGCAAATCTATCCTTTTCTTTTGATATATTTGTGATCGCAAATTTTCGTATTTGCAATACATGTATACAGAACTTTTGAGGACCAACTTTGAAATCGTGTTCAAATAATTCGTGTACAACATTATCCATAAAAGTGTTTATATGATACACATAAGGATAACATTTTTCATTTTCATTTTTTATCTTGGTTTGTAACTATTTCTTTACAAAATTTAGTTGACA